AAGAAAAGAAAAGAAAAGAAAAGAAAAGAAAAGAAAAGAAAAGAAAAAGACACAACTAAACAAACAAACAAAAAAACACCTGCATTTTCTTTCTGCACCTCTTTTTAAAAGTGTGGGTGATACTTTGGCTGACTCTTCAGACAATAAAACACAAAGCAAAAGGAGGACAGTCGGATTTTATGACTACGGTTTCTGATAAGAGATTTCTGAAATATTAAAGTATGTTTAACCACTACAGATTAATACATCCTTTAAGAATATCATCAATGTTTAACTACCCCTTGTCTGAACCACACACATATGTTCAATTGCAAAAACAAAATGAAACAAAAAAAAACACAAAACCTTTTACCAAAAATTAAGCACATCATTCTGTTTGAAAATTCATGCTCTTGCTTTGTAATGCAATCTTTGTGAGTCTGGGAGCATACAGCAGACTATGAACTCCACAAAGAGGTGATTGATGATTTTGGACTAATTCTGGAATCTGGTCAATCCATTCTTGAAAAATAGTCCTAGCTACACTGGTGTAATGACTTGCAAGAAATTCCCCAGTAAATCTTACAGGTTGGAAACTGTAGAAATATCACACTTGTCCTTGGTATTGATCATCAAAATGCCAGCCCTCTCTCTTTTTTTTTTCATACACACTTAAAATTAATTGATTAAGAAATAAATTATTGCATGGAATTAATTTCTAAGGTGTGTGTGAGGTCTAGAAGACCCTCCGTTTCGGCCTACACTTTCCAAAATATCTACAGACTCATGTTTAACAGTCAGTAAGTTGCTACTGACAAAGCTGTTGTCACATCCAGTTTGCAATCTTTCCAACAAAGAGGGTCTCTCCCCACACAGGACAGTTGCTCCTCGTTCTGCAAGGTTCTCAAGCCATAGTAACTCCCTGGTGAACATGGGCTGCTCTGAAGATCTGGAGCAACCTCCCAGGAGGCACTGTCTTACATATGTTCCAGCAAACAGCTGAGTGGTGCCACACAGTTCCTGTTCCCAGTCTGTCACATCAGCAGAGACACTGAGGGCACAACAGACACTGTCTGACAGAGACAGAAAGTGCGAAACCACAGAAAAGAGAGTTGGGAGTCTAAAACCAAAGGTATGCTAGGGTAGAAGGTTCACAGCAATTTCGTCATGTGCTATAAGGAAATTATCTTGCAAGAACTTTACTCAAAGTAACCCAAACAGATGATAAAAAAATATAAATGCTTCCTTGTATTCATGAAATTATTTTGTCCCAGGGAACGTAGTAGTGCTTTCCATGGTATGAAGGTACTCCAATCAAATTAAAAGAAAAACAGTTCAAGCTCTAAAGAAGAGCAGTGGCAAGCAGGAAGCAAAACTGTCACTGCTCACACTCACTGCTCAGTGCTGTGTCAAATGTGTCACAACACAGCTGCAGGAAAGCAAGTGTTTTCACACTGTGTTTTTTGGTGCAGAATAGCTCTTAAAGGAAACATAAAACATAGGGAGAATGGTCCTTTTTCTATAGTCACATAAGAAAACTGTTTTATTTGGAAACATGACTGATCATGTTTAAATTCTCTAAATGTTTCTTGTTTAAATGTTAGTGAGCTGCTTACCTTGAGAACAAACATGACATAAGGCTCATACAGCAGCTACTTATTTCATTTTACAAAGAATACAGCTTGTTTTGCATTTTTTCTCCTTTGATTCTGCTAGTTATATTGCCCCTATTGATTGTAAATAGTTGTTGGTGATGGGTCTTTTCCAGTCCATGTATTCCATCTTACAGATTGGGACAATGAATTGGCCTGTTACAAAGAACTAAGTGAGGATCTAACCTGTACCTGGCTGCCGGCACCCAGTGCTCCAAATAGTATTAATTACACCTTATTTTTAAAATGGTAAGTCTAAAAGTCACTTCAGAAAATGAATAGTTATCATTGCTGTCTGGTCATTCCTACCTGCTTAAATTTTTTTCATACATATTTAATCATATTGTAGGTTGTTACACAATACTGATCAAGCCTTTCAATTTCAATTCTTACTGACTTAGTAAGAGCTGCACATTTCAAACTGCAGGGAGAGTGACACTGGCAGCACACATGATACTAAGCAGACACTTCTGTTTGCTTTATAATCAATGCAGAAACAGCTGGAATTTGTGCTTGAACAGATCTACAGAAAAGTTTGAAACAGGTGCATAGAGTCAACAACCATTTGTCTAATCTGAAGAACAGTGATGTACCATTTTCTAATTTCTTGAGGAGTGCCCAGAAAACTACTCAGGATTGGACTGAGAGGACTTCAGTTGTAGCAACTGTACTTACCCATCTTTTCCACTGATTCATTAAATGCTGAGCAAGCTAAAACCTCCACCTTCCCTCCCAGTTTTAAGGAAAAGATAACAGAACAAACATGTAGGTTAGTAACCATATTTCAGAGATGTGACATTAGCTCTTCCAACCACTAATTGTCTTCACTATCCACTGAGAACATGGAAATGATACCACAGCTACCTCCCTCCACCCAATAAACAATGTTTTATCCAATAAATAACTTCTTCTTTCTGCAATTTGCTAGTCATTAGTCACCTTTCCATGCACCAAAAATCTCTGTTTGAAACTTTATTTCCAAAGACCATTTAATTAATTACTTTTGTCTAGTGACTTGCAGCAAATATTCAACACTAATGCATTCTAAGTTTCAAAGATTGAGTTTCATTATGCAATATTATTATGTTAAACCAGATAACCAATGAAATGCTGGATATGCTACATTAAAGAAAATAAAATAGATTCTGAAGTATCTTACTGCAGTTGCAAATTAGCGAGTTTAATAGGTGAAATTAAATTGTAGAGGTTAATAACAAAATACGTCTATCTCCAGTTGCTTCATTTTTTTAAGAGAGCTAAAGCAAAGAAATGAGGTAAAATGCAGATGTGAAGATTAAATCAACATCTGCCCACTGGACTGTTAATGTTGCTGCCTCCGTATCTTCATTACGAAAGAGATTTTCCTCACTTTACCTCTTTGTATTTTGGATTTGCCATGAGATTAAGGGCAAGAGTATTTGTAATGTAGTTGCTCTTTGTATGTCCAGTCAAAATCAGAGTGTATTATTGGTAAATTGCAGAGTTGATGCTATGAACAGAAAAGGCAGTAAAAAGGGAAAGAGATGGTAGGATAGGAGAGATGCAATTGTCTCACAGAGATACAAGTTTTCCCAATCTAGAGTCAGAATTTGAATCTCAGCCTCCTAGGCTTCAGCCTGATAATCCGAAAGAAAAACTTTCTTCTCCCTTTTTATTGTTTTGGAAGGAAAATAACAAGCATTCAAAGGATTTTTTTCCTGCTTGCCTAGAAGATGACATCACTCCATCTGCAAGCAATGTTAGACTAGCACTGAAATTTTTTCTTTTCTTTGCACTTTACAATTTAATTGTCAGAAAGAAAAGTATTAAAGAATAACACTCCCACAGAGATGTTCAAATCAAGCATTCAAAATCATAGTTTGAAATATTAATGGCTGATTCACAACTAGTCTGAAGCAAAAGACAAGGGAAGCTTCCAGGAGTTTTGTTCTATTATAAAATGTTCTATCATGATCAGCACATTTAATACTTGAAGTATCTAGGTATGTAATTAGTATGCTTATCCACTTCTTTTTAAGAATATTGAATTAGAACAGCTTTAGCCTTGGAAAATATGTTTTGTATGCATCAGAGAGCAAATGGCAGAGCAGGATCTGGGGGGATGTCCAAACAGAACAAGAACAGTCTTTCATTTAATGCCTGAAAACTGAGTGTGAGAAAACACACACACACAAAAGTTAAATCTTATTTCCCTAAGTCCTGCTTTTCTTTGCACATTCTTTGCATTCACGTGTACTCCCAAATCCTACATACTCAGGACCACATTTCTGCAGCAACTGCTTACATGAAGAACACCTTGCAGAACTTAAGCTTTCACTACAGATCAAAGGAAAAGGCTAAAACTTCAGCTGGCTTCCAGAAGGTTGCCTCTTAAAAGGGAATTCTGGGACAGTGTACACTGACTGCCTCCTGCACTTGCTCTTCTTCCTGCTGTTAACTGCTTTGAGCAATGGTATTGGATGAGATGATTTCCATACATCCAGTCCAACCTCAGCTATTTTGAGAGTCAGTGAACTGTGGAATTCTGTCTGCATTAAATGGCTTGAGACATAGCAAAACAAACTGCCTAAATGGTTCCAAGAACTTCTGGACAGTCAATACACGTTATGGCCACTGAATTTTTTTTAATTTATAATACAAACTTGGCCAGCTGTTGGCCTGATTGAGAATCAAGGTTGTACAACGTATGTTTCCATTATCCAGCCTGAAGCATATAGCAATTATGAAAATCACTTTTATATAAAAGCTTTACTGTACAGTCGCATAAGTTGAAGGCACTTTTTATCTTGCAAATATGCTCTTTAGATGGTAGACCTGCCCTATTAGCTTACTTTTACCATGACAGCTTCAACTCTCACACATCTAACAGTACCTTCTAAAAGCTGTTTATGTCCCATTTTAATCTTAAAGAAAACTATATAGATCTTTGTCTTTTATCACACTGTGCCTCATAAATGTAAAGAATTTAGCAGTTCTCCAGTACACAACATGTATTTGCAAGGTTAAGCTAGGATTGCTAGGATACTGGAATTACATTTGCTGTTTCAAGCTGCTCAGTCCTCACTTTCAAGTTTTCAAAATGATGACTTTGTTTATGAGTACCTGGAAAGCTAGGAGTTGTTATAATGATGCTTATGAGGAAAAAAAAGTGTATGATAAACCAGCAAAAAGTTTGGCTTTCATTCTTATTCCTCTTCTCTGAAGGGAGAGAATCACAAAGCTTTTTAGAAGAAACACTTCATCACCTTCCATCACAATAGAACGAAAAAATCTCTTCATGAACCGTTCTGCATCTATCTGGATAGCAGTGAACTATGCTCATGCCAGCTGTGTGAAAGGAAAGAACATTTCAGTTACACCAAGAAAAGCAGGTATTATATCTTCATGATCTGTATTACTGCAGTGTCCTGCTGAAGCAATGGTATGATTTTCTTCAAAATTATTTTCAAAATGTTATCTCCTGCCATACACTTATCCTTTTCACTGATTCAGAGCACTGCAGTTTGGCCTTCCTTATTGGCTTCTTTATGAAATCTTTATTGAAGTCCATAGCGGAAGTCCATCCATTTTTATGATATCAGGACTTTAAATCTGATTTTTTTTGCTGAACTATAAAATACTATACCCAAAAAAACTATATAGTGACATTTGCATACCATACTTCACCAGCTTCCTCTATTTCTGATGGTTTTTGTAACTTCTTTATCATAGAATCATAGAATTGCTCAGATTGGAAAAGATATTCATCATCAGCAAGTCCAACCGTAACCTAACCATAGTACCCTAACCTTAATAACTCTCCACTACAATGTGAGGAGTCACATATTTACAAAGAACAGGCTGACACCGTATCATACATTCAAGGAATTTTTTCTACAGACAATTCACATTTTGGGAAAACTTCAAATTTCAGCTATTTTTTAAGGCCAGTTACCTATTACACAGTACTACAAGGGGCATGTGAAAAAAATTAATCCTATGAGCTATGCACTGCAGATGCCTATTCACAGATTCTCAACTGAGTTAACATCAAGATCTTCTGAAATCCTAAACTTCCCAGAGTAACAATTTTTTTAATTTTAATTAAGTTTCAAAAGTGCTTCTCATTGCTGAAAGGCACTATCAGTAAAACCCAAATTACCACTATGACTCCTTGGGAGATTTTCAGAGGGAAAACTGTCCATTTGGATTAAAAATTATATAGATAAACACAGTTGCTGAAATTGGAATCTTTTCTACAGTTCACAATTAGAAGTACTCCTGATGTTTTGATTTTGCCTTTCAGACTCACGGAGCACCTGTTTAAAGAAAGGATTTTACTGATATCAGAAGTAGCGTTCACAAAAGAATTACACACACAAACCCAAATTTGTTGATACTATAAAGATTTAGTAAATACTTATTTCCAATTTTTCTAAGTCTCATACTGTTTGATGTTCTCAGCCAACTCCTCCATTTTTGGCAAAACACACCCAATTGACACATAATATCCAAAGCTTTCCTGCTTCCCCTGTACTGATGTAATCTGTTCCCAATTGCAGGGAAGTGTTTGACACCATCTAACATAAAAGCTCATCAGATCACAAAGCAATTGGTCATAAAATGGAACTTACCTACAACTCCTACAGAATACGAGTTGAGATACAGAGAGGCACTGACAAAAGCCACTCAGTGGACAACGGTAAGTATTTCCATATGCCTCTTGAGAACATGAGGAGGTTCATTTTCAGCTCAGTAGTACGTAGTACATACAGCTACATGGCAGGATATAAACAGGACATTGTTGTAGCACACAAAAACATGGATAGCAAGAGAACACAGCGCATGACTTGCTGGCAAATCTCACAGTATTCTCTTAGTTACCTGCCAATAGATTCTGAACTGTTTGAAAGAGAAAAATTAGTAGTTTTATGCTGAAAAAAAGAAAACCAATATCACTATATCATATGGTTCATTAACTTGTCAATAAGGCATACCAACCAACGGAGGAAAAGCTGACGATCTAGAAAGGGTATCAGAAATGATAGCCAGATCTGATTACACTTTAATTAAAAGACTATATTATTTTCTCTACTATTATCATTAGAGACCAGGTTGCTGTAATACTGTTCTTCAGAATGCCAGTAAAGATCAAAGTCAAATAAGTGATGATTTTTCAATGTATGTAACATGGAATCCATTTTTAAGAGGGGGTTAACCTGCACTACTGCTTACATGTCCTGATAGAACATAATTAGTTGAAAAAGGGAGTATCATCTTTCAAGAATCAAATAAAAATTACTAATATATACAGTAATTCTTCATTGATGATGGCAACTGCTACTTTTGGTCAGAACTTTTGTTTTTTGATTGAGAAAAACATTAATATAAGATTGTCTTATTGCAAACATCATTTGCTTTTAGGTGCCCATAGAAACCAATGCTGTTAACATCACTGTTTCAAATGCTGCATCTTCATATATCATTCAGCTCAGATGTATAACCAAGGATGGTCTTCATTGTGTTTGCATTTGGAGTAAAGAGATTTTGGTCCCTCACAGTAAGTTAATTTCCTGGGAACAAGCATAAGTGGAAAAACCCTTTTCCAATTTTATAATGTATGAACATTGTCAAATACTGTTGAAAATATTAAGACCGACCTGATTTCTATGAGTGCGCATCTCTATCTTTTCCCATGTTTACCAGAGCTCATGAACAAGCCAAGAATATCATATAATGCAACTACAGAAATATCATCAGGCAGAAGAAGTGTTCTTCTTAAGTGGGAGGTAATTTTCTCTCATTATGTTAAAACCATACCATTAATTCATTACTTTATAGGGGAAGAATAGACTTTCTCATTGTATGAGGACTACAGTGTACAAGAAAAAGGTATTGAATACTGAACTTGTGCTCTAGGATTCACTGCATTTGTATGGTGGTAAATCAGGTTCCAGAAATTAGCAAGGAAAAGGCACAATAATTTATAAACTACTTAAATTTATAGAAACCTCCAGGCTCAAATCACTGACTAGAATAAAGATTCTTTCCAATTAGCAGTAAACACTGGTGAATCTCAGGTTAACTATGAAATTAATTTTCCTTGAAAAAACTTTATAAGCCATACACAAGTGACATATCTTCTGTTAGACATGTTCCTAAGAAGCATTATTATTCTCAAGAGAGATAAAAAGTTTTTAGAAAAGCATCTTTTAAGACTACTGATTTAAATATTCAGAAGTGCAAATACATTATAATGAGAGAAAAGGAGCATACCAAAACAACACCTAGCTGAACATATCCCACAACCATATTTAAAATTCACTCTATAAATCATAGGCTTCCCCTTTTCTGTAACAGGTGTCATTATCAGCTGACTGACTGTGCTCATCAGTCACTCTTACTAGCTCAAGTTCTCTTGATAAGAAAAGGATAGCTGACAGTCTGGAATTCCCATTTAAAGGGCCCACGGGTCCACAAGCAAGGTCTTACTGTTGTTTTTTAGTTGGAAGCTCACTCTGTCCAGATGCTGAGAGAATGAACATCTACGAATTCTCAGAAACTTACCATAGGAAATGTCTGAAGCAGAGTCTGTGTCTGTCTCTGAAGACAGGGGTTGGCAGAGTTTTTAAATATCAAAAAAATATGGGAAGTTTTGTAAAGACTCCTTTCTGTTTCTGTTAAGGGGGAAAAAAAGACAGCAGAGAAAATAATTTCCTCCTTTGGTTAGGATGAGATATCCCTTCTTTTCCTTTTTCTCCTTAGAAGAAGGAAAAGCTGCAAGGTAAATGATTCACTTTATGATAAAGTAAATTGTACTTGGCAATTCCAATGTTAAGAGAAGACAACGGTCTCTACTGATGAATTTTAATTTAAAAATATCTACATTAAATACAGGATCAAGGCTAGGAGCTTCTTTCAGGATAACTCTTGTACTGAACTAGTATACTAAATAAGGTTCAAGTACATCATCAAAGGATTGAGGGAAGGAGTATACGCAGTAATTAACATGTTAAAGTGAAAAGGAAAAATAGAGGTAGCAGGAGAAGGGAGGCTCACCTGACAAACTTGCTTAAGCCAATCTCAAACAAACATTAAAAAAAAAAATTTTAAATGTCACAGTCTACCTGTAGTTCCTCTGATTTTTTATGTTCAATGTGTAAGCTTTACATAAGTTGGATGAAAAGGCACAGAAAAGGTGATTTCAGCTCATTAGACGTTAAGGTCCAACTTGGAAGTGCGTACTATTTTTATAGAAATAATATGAGATCTCCTGCAGGACTGCACAAGATAGACAGTGCTTTTCCTTCTCAGTCTAAGTTCTGTTGGTTTTTGTCATGCGTTGCATATCCTAGGAATAATTTTCCCTGCATACACTCATTTTCCATTTTCAAAGTCTGATCATAGAGTCACAGATCACAGAATGGCCCAGGTTGGAAGGTTCCTCAAGGATCATGAATCTCCGAACCCCCTGCCACGGCAGGGCCTCCAAATTCCCATTTAATAGTAGGCCAGGCTGCCCAGGGCCCCATCCAACCTGGCCTTGAACACCTCCAGGCACGGGGCATCCACAACCTCTCTGGGCAGCCTGTTCCAGCACCTCACCACTTTCTGTAAAGAATTTCCCCCTGACATCCAACCTAAATCTTTCCTTTCTCAAGTTAAAACCATTTCCCCTTGTCCTGCCATTATCTATCCTTGAAAAGTGTTGACTCCCATTCTGTTTATAGGCTCCCTTAGGTACTGAAAAGCTGCAATGAGGTCACCGCGCAGCCTTCTTTTCTCCAGGCTGAACAAGCCCAGCTCCCTCAGCCTGTCTTTGTAGGGGAGGTGCTCCAGTCCCCTGATCATCTTCATGGCTCTCTTCTGGACCCAATCCAACAACCCTCTGTCTCTCTTATACTGGGGGCTCCAGACCTGAACACAGTACTGCAGATGGGGCCTCACAAGAGCAGAGTAGAGAGGCACAATTATCTCCCGCCTGTTCCTGCTGGCCACCCCTCTTCTGATGGAGCCCAGGATACCATTTGCTTTCTGAGCTGCAAGAGCACACTGCTGGCTCATGTTAAGCTTTTCATCCATCAGGACCCACAGGTCCTTCTCTGCAGGGCTGCTCTCAAGGACTGCTCCTTCCACTCTGTATAAATGTCTTGGCTTCCTCCAGTCCAAGTGCAAAACCTTGCACTTGGTTGTGTTGAACCTCATCAGGTTCATCCGGGCCACCTTTCAAGTCTGTTGATGTTCCTCTGAATGGCATCCCTTCCTTCTACTGTGTCAACCGCACCACTCAGCTTGGTGTCATCAGCAAACTTGCTGACAGCGCACTCGATTCCTTCATCAATATCACTGATAAAGATGTTAAAGAGCACCGGTCCCAAGACAGACCTCTGGGAACACTGCTTGTTACCAGCCTCCGCCTGTACATAAAACTATTAATCACCACTCTTTGTCTGCAGCCTTCCAACCAATTCCTTATCCATCAAGTGATCCACCCATCAAATCCACATCCCTCCAATTTGGAGATAAGGATGTGATGGGGGACGATGTCAAAGGCCTTGCTCAAGTCCAGTTAAATGATATTGACCGCCTTCCCTTTGTCCACCAATGCCTTCACTTCATCATAGAAGCCACCAGATTGGTTAAGCATGGCCTTCCCCTGGTGAAGCTGTGCTGGCTGTCTAGGATCACACTCTCATTCCTCATGTGATCAAGCATGACATGCAGAAGGATCTGTTCCATGATCTTCCCAGGTACACAGGTGAAACTCACCAGTCTGTAGTTCCACAGGTTCTCCTTGCTCCCTTTCTTATAAATGGGAGTGACGTGACCCTTCCTCCAGTCATCTGGGACCTCACCTGACAGCCACGACTTTTCAAATATGATGAAGAGTGGCTCAGCAACAACCTCAGCCAGCTCCTTCAGAACCCTGGGATGCACGCCATCCAGCCCCATAGCCCTGTACACATGCTGTCTCATGAGGTGGTCTCGGACTTGCTCTGTCCTTACAGTGAGGGGGGAGATTTACCGCCCCAGTCCCCACCTAGAGGTTTAGGGATGTAGGGCTCAGGAACATAAGAAATATTAGAATCCTGGCTGCCAGTATAGACTGAGGCAAAGAGCTCATTCAGTACCTCAGCCTTCTCTTCATCTGTTGAAGCCAGTTCTCCTTTTACATTTACCAGAGGAGGTACACTTGCTTTGGCCTTTGATCTCTTCTGGCCAATGTACCTGTAGAATGTCTTCCTATTGTTTTTCACGTCCCTTGCCAAGTTCAGTTCTGCCTGCACCTTGGCTTTCCTGACCCCACATCTGCAAGTATGGACGGCATCCCTGTATTCTTCCCAGGTGACACAACCTTGTTTCCAGAGCTTGTACGCACCTTTCTTTGCCCTCAGTATGCCCAGCAGGTCCTTGCTGAGCCATGCCCATTTCCTATCTCCTTTGCCTGGTTTCTTATTCAGAGGGATGGAGAGTTCTTGTGCTCTCAGGAAGGTATCCCTGAAGAGTAGCCAGCTCTCCTCAACATCTTTAAGGACAGCATCCCAACAATTGGCCAACAATTCTTTCAACAGCTTAAAGTTCACTCTTCCAAAGTTCAGGGTTCTGACCCCACTCTTCACCAGACCCACATTCCTCAAAATCACGAATTCAACCAGGGCATGGTCCCTGCAGCCCAGGCTGCCTCCATCCTTAACACCTTTAATGATCTCCTCTGCATTGGTGAGCAACGATTAGAGGATTAGGGGACACTAATCTGATTAGAGGACATTATTCCCCCAGAAGCTTCATCAGAGCTTCAAACAGTGGGATCAATTCTTTCTTCAGTATCTTGAGAAAAACTTCTGTTGTTTCCATTTTAAGAGCTTCCAGCATTAGCAGTATTAGTAGTATAGTTTACTAGATGTCATCCTCTCTATGTTACTCTGAAATTATCCAATTATTTCATTAAGAAACTCTCCTAATTTTGTGTTAGCTTTCCACTATTAATTCTGCGCCAAGGTGACCAAGAAATAATAACCACCCTTGATATCAAGTGTCGGAGAATCCCCAGGCTTTATGTTTTTATTTCTATTTCTAACTAAATTGTAGTAATTTCCATTTTCGTGCACTAATTTTCTCATCTCTCATGAAGATTAACACATGGCTGAATCACCACCTAAAAATTTCTATCAATGAATATACATTTCAAAGTTGTAGTATCATTACCAGCATTTATACTCAAAGAGACCAGACGATTAACAGCCTAGTAGATGAACATTCCCTGAGGCATAAATTGCAATTGAACACCTCTCATTAACTTTCAAGCTTCTAATTATGATGGATATATGTTCCAATGAAGTGTAAAGAACATTGCTGCTTCTTCAGTGCTGCTATTACTAATTGGATACACATTACTAAGATTCCAATTAAGCAAAACCTCTAATCCTGTGTTTAAATCCTTTCAATTTAAGAATGCTTTTAATATTAAGAAAATGGTCTGCTTCACTGATTCCTGATATCTAATTGAAATAGTATGATATTATCCCCAATATTAAAAATGATATTTTGTTTCTATAATTCCATTGCTCTTAATTTTCAACACAGGACATAATAACATTTATAGAATAATAACCTTTTTATTCTTTTAGGTAATGCAAAGTGAGAACGCCATTGGATACTACATTGATGTTGAAAGAATACCCAACAGTTGCTGGGATTCACCAAATCGCATCATTCTAAAGGACAGAAAGGTTCTTCTAAATATCTCTATGGCTTACTATAGGATTCATATTTCTGCCTATAACAAAGCTGGACAATCTCCACAAACCATCTACACTGTCCCAGATTTCTCTGCAACAGGTACTTATCATTTACTGATCTGATTGGTGGAAAAGTTTTATAAGCAATCTCTAGACCAGCTTTTTGGCAGTCTGAAGGGAGCCTACAGAAAAGCTGGGGAGAGACTTTTTATCAGGGCATGTTGCAACAGGATGAGGGGAAATGGCTTTAAACCAGAAGAGAGTAGATTTAGACTAAATATCAGGAAGGAATTCTTTCCTGTGATGGTGCTGAAACACTGGAACAGGTTTCCCAGTGAGGTTGTGAATGCCCCTTCCCTGGAAGCATTCAAGGCCCCTTCCCTGGATGGGGCTTTGAGCAACCTGGTCTAGAGGGAGGTGTCCCTGCCTACAGCAGGGGTTTGGAATTAGGTGATCTTAAAGGTCCCTTCCAACCCAAACCATTCTATGATTCTATGATTCTGATTATTTCTTAAGAAAGGATTTTGCTGGAAATTAACCAACAGACCAAGCAATTAAACATTTCTTGTACCACTTCTTGTTTTCTCAAGTTAGAGAAATAGCAATATGTTAGATCTATCTAGAAAGGCTTATGATGTGTACTCAAAATTAAGTAGATTCCAGCCTTTTAAACAAAGTTGTCAGAATTATGTGCAAATAAAAGCTTTTGGAGTTAAATAACTGGTAAGACACAGATTTATCCCCGCTGGTACATGAAAGAAAGAATAGGTAGGATGTGTACATCCTATTCCAATGAAGATGTAAGCGTTCTGATATCCGAAACCACAGGATTTTTAATTCTGACTATTATACAATGATCTTATTATAGTATAAGCTAGTTTTCTTTATTATAATCTTGAGCTACAGCAACTTAAATACAAGATTCTCACTTTTCTTGGGAATGCCTTTTGTGTTTTTTTTTTTTTTAAATCAAGCTATAGCATTCACAAATGTTGCAAGGATCAAACAGCTGCAAACAGTTACTTTTCCAGAATTTTCTAACGTGCCTCTCATTCTGTTCTCCTTCGCCTGCAAATTCCTAGTAGTTTATTTCTCCTGCTTGCATTTGATTGCTTTAGCTCTTTTCTAATACAATACGTGATGCCATCTCTCCAAGACATTCTTCATCTAAGAACCACATATTTATTAAATATCAGCCTGTCTTTCATGGCTTTCTCCAGACATCTGTTTTAGATTTGGTTTCACATACAGGCAGGCTCACTATACCTGTGGTGAATTACTGGGAAAATATTACATTAAGTTTGTTCGCAGGACAAATTCCTTCTCAGCATGCACAACTCTTGTGAAAATGTACAGACTTTTTTTTTTTTTTTTTAATTCTACTCTATTACAATGGTTTTCAGAATAAATGAAATACAGAAATTTGTCTGTCGTAAGATTCAGTTTTTACCCCGCATGATAGGGTGTTTTTCTTCTATATAAGTTTCATTTAAGAAGTCTTCTCTAGTTTAATAATCTGTCTCAAAAAACAACAGAATTTTTAAATAATTTTGCATTTTCTGCAAGAATGACACTAAGTTACACAGCTACAAAATGTAATTAGCTCCTTCTCCTCCGCCAGGTAAGAGTGATCACACAGTTGTTCTGCCTATAGCGGTTAATAGCAGTTCTCAGGAGATTGTTTAGCAGTGTTAGCCATCCCCTGCCTGAGGCATGGAGCAGCCATTTCCCCTTTAAGAAATTAAAGGTCCTGAACAGCAGTTAACACTGGAGGTCCCAGAGTCTATTGCAGAGTGCTAGTTGCTAAATTTCCTTTAATGACATAAAAGAGTAGGTATTACTGTGTGGTCATCAACATGATAACTACTTAATGAAGAATCTTCAGATGAATCAGAGAAAAAGACAGAAAAACACTGATGGGGAAGGGACAGTCTGCTTTCGTGTTAATTCATATCCAATGGTATATTTGTTTACAGATTTGCCTGGCCAAATTAATGTTAAGCCTCACGGAACTAATGTGGTTGTCACCTGGAATCCAGAATACAGTCCAAAATGTTTTGTGGTTGACTGGGGCACTCGTAAAGAGGATATGCGCATGAAAATAGTAGCTACAGCTGCTGGAAATTTCACGTTAGGTAAAAGCAACAGCCACATCTCATACTGGCACCATTTCACTTACTGGTTATTTTTGGCTGGGGAGGGAAGGATTTTCATACTGTTTTTAAGAGCAAACCAAGGATCCAGCTAAGTGTACCCTATCCAACAATAAAATAACATCTACTTTTAAGAAACACCAAAGCAGAGAAAATAAAGATCCTTCAGCAGGATTCTTCTAGTCACATCTGGGCAGGAGATGTAGCTGAACTGCAGTTGCTGGCAAGAGGTCTCTCCTTTCCCAAATTCAGGCAGGCCTATACGCTACTTTTTGGCTAACACAGTGGCATAGGAACAAATAAAAGTATTTCTTGTCCCTAATTTCAAATATAATCTTCTCTGATGCATACTTTCCCCTGTATTATTTTTTGTCCCCACAGCTGTGCTGTCAAAGCACAAACTCTCAACTCCTGTACCTACAAATCTGGGTATGAAGAGTTGCCGGCGGAGATCAGTTTACAGAACAGTCATCCAAAACCTCTATTGAAATCACATAAGTGACTCTTGCAGACACCATTCTGAACTGTCTTTTATGCATAGTATAGAACACTTAAGTTCAGATTTATGTAAATAGGTGCAGCGTTTTCCTCAGTCCTGCAGTATCTGCGCTGTCACATTACATCTACTGTTCTGCATGTTTTTAAATATGCTGGCTGAGAGAAACATTGTTCATTTGAACTAAGATGTGTGAACTTATTTTTGTTCACTGCTTTTTGTACAGCAGTTCAAGCTTCCCAGAGGTGGATTTTGGGAAAACATGGCATCTTTTAAAAACAAACCAGAGCTACATCTTGTTCTACTTTTGAAATAGTTTCTGTAAAGTACTGAAAGTCAGTGAGAAAGGATTCATACCTTTTATGCTCACTGTAAAGGACTATATCTTTAAGCTATGCTTTGAGGCACAGGAATTTATACGATCTATGCAAAAAAACTGTGAGGTTGTTTTCCCTCTTCCCCTTCCTCCTCCTTTTCAATGATGATAACTTTTCAGTAAGCACTGAAATACGTCTGTTTGTTTTCCAGACAATATTAATCCATATAAGTTGTACAAAATCATGGTGCATGCATCTGATGTGTGTCAGTGTGAAAGTTTCAGAGGACATGAAAAGACTTTCGGAGTAACCCACTTTTACTCAGTTGAAGGAGGTACTCCTCTTTTTTATATATTTATGTTCCTTATATTTCTTCTCATTTCCTATCTGCAGCAAAAAAATAAAAAATTAAAAAACTCCAACATGTTTCTTTTCCAGGTGACTTAACATGCTAGTATAGTTAGCATTGCCTTTGGTTCTAGAAGTTATACACTGGCAAGAAATGACCTGAATGCTTTTCCCTAGTGACAGATCCATTAAAATGTTGTTATTACACATGACACTACAAAAATAACAGAAAGGGGGCACCTGAGTTATTACTCCTTGTAGCTCAAATGTAATTGTAACTGAAGTCAGATTTCCCAATAGAAATTCAATGATGTCTTATATCACAAATTGAAATTAATACAACTCTGACTGCTGAAGTAAAAGTGTTTGTAATGAGTTAATGATAGAGTTAATGATGAGATAATGATAGTGAAGATTACCTCCTTGGGCATTTCTTAATATCTGAGTGCTTTACTGTATGGAATACTGTATGTATTCCTCTTTTGTTTTCCACCTTTTATATTGTACTTATGACAAATAGAATGAAGTAAAGATCTCCCCAGGTAGCAGCTAGGTTTCAGTCATATATGTCTACAGCATTAATGTTAATGCGGATCTTATTTTCTGAATTTTAAGTTCCTAGGATAGGACCCACTAATATAACAATTCTAAATATCACAAAGCATTCTGCATTTGTGAAGTGGTCTCAAATATCTGCTGAAGACTGTATGGGCTTTCTCCAGGGATACAAAATCAAATACACAGATTCATCAATGAAAAAGTTTCTGGGTAAGTCTCCATTGCTCAGAACGTAGCAGTAGTTCAGTGTTACGACAGAAATTTTTTCATACAGAGCCATTAATGTGCATTAATTAAAAGCACACTACTGAATCAGATTTCCCTGGGAACAGAGTGCTTCCAAAGATCAGCTTCTGGTTAGGGTTTTTCTGCTCTTGATGACTTCAAGAAAATTATATGTATTCATAGGAACATCTCAGATTAAATATTGATAAGAAAAATTCCCTTAAAACATACAGTTTTAAGACAACAATAGAATTTCCCCATAACACTGAAAGGAAGATATATCTTTTAGTATTTCTGAGGTCTTATGATTTCAATCACAATACTTTTATGCTTCACTGCAATTCAGCTAGGTTTGGCTCTGAGCATTTTTTTTAAATTCTATTTGCTGTAAATTTTTTCATACTTCTTACCTGTTTTGAAAGACATGGTTATAAATTTTAGAACATTTTCTTTAATTGATAGCCTTATTTATTGCTTAACTACAAAAGATAAACCTTCTACACATTGAAATAAAGCTCATAGCTATGCAGCTGCAAGCTCAAGCTACTTAAGTTTGGGGGAAAATAACCACTACTTTTATCTCTTTTGTTAAACATACCATAAACAATAATGCATTAATTTTGTACATATTGACTTTTAAATACAATTAAAGACATATTATGGAAGACAAATAGCACTTATGGCCTGAGAAAAGAGAAAAACAAGGATTCTATAGGTCTTATTGGTGTATGTCTTCAGAAGACCACAAAAAATAACAGAAGCTTGAAGTTTACAGCCCTGTGTTCCCTGAAGTTAGCTTCCCTGAGTTTGACAGAGAATTCAGGGAGCTCTACTTCACCATGGGTACCTATCAGAGAGTGGAAGAGGAGACACAAGGGAGTCCACAAGGCTGAACTTTATTTTTTTACTCACCCCTAATGATCAGTACAACAGTAACACAACAACTGATTCCCATGTTTTCCAGATGGGAATAATAATTTTACTGGAGAATTCTAGGGTACCTGCAGGCTACAGTAACATTTCTAAGATCTCAGATTCTCAATAGCAAACTTGAAAAATAATTTCTGCCAAGTTTAAGGTGTTCTACTGCACTGATTATTCTAACTGGTGGAAAAGTCATCACAGCATCAGAAAAAATGGATTGAGATCAAAATTCTAAAAAGCAGATGCAGTTGAATATATTGACATTTTTCTGTACAGAACCCAAAATAATGGTACTGATACTGACTGATATGAATAACTACTCATTATGGCAGTGAGGGTAACGCAAAGGTCTTGTCTTGCAACTACCATTCAGTCATTGCTTAGAGGCAGTTCAGGTGCTTTGCTCTTTCCATGTCCTTATTTCAACTCCAACAACAAGGGGTTATCATGAAACCATAGTACAGCATGTCAGGTGTATATCCTATTAAACACAGCCTACCGTACTTATCACCTAAATATCCTGGTGTGTTAGGATCTCATGCTTTTTTACATCTGAAAGCCAAATGCATGTAAGTATTTTGAAGAATCTTACACCCACCCAAAGAAAATCTGCATAGTGTGGCTTTCGACGTGTGGATCAGGACATAGGAATTTTGCCTTTTTCCTAGTCAACTACACAGATACAGACTCAAATAATAGAAATCATCTCACTGCCCCATTCTCTAACCACTCTTGTGTTTTCAGCTGCTAGCATCAACTCTTCTACTACAAGTTACCATCTTACTGGACTTAAGGAAAAGACCATCTACCGTGTAGAGATTTCAGGATTCACTAAAGCTGGAGAAGGATCACCATCTTTTTCACCACAATTCAGTACTCTAAAATATGGTACTGTGGAATCTGCATGCTACTGCGTTGCCCAGCAGCAATCTTGGCTTTATATGCCATTACACAAAGTATTATTCTACACCCTTTCTCTTTTCCCTGCTTTTCAAGCAATAACAAAGTGCTCATGCACAGGATTTATTATTCAGTTCTTGGTTTACTGATAACAAAGGCAAAATTGTTCAGTTGCTACTGATGAACTGTGTATCATGAAACTCTGCCTATATTTCTTTACCTAACATGCAGAGAAGATTTAACTAGGGTACCTCATCTTCATAACATTCTGTGATTTTTTTCATGTTAATTATATTAACTTATCTTTATTTATTGCAAACTCTTATCACAGGTTTCAGTAGTCGGAATAATCTGGCTTTGATTTACAAAGTTCAGTTGTCTTTGTTCTTGGCAAAATCTTGATCACATAAAGCTGGTTTGCAGTTAGATACCTCAGCAAAACCTTCTTTTTTTGCAAAAAGAAAGTCAGTCTTTCTACTGTGGCTGTTGATCAAATCTTCTGTTTTCTGATAACTAGAGTCCTTTTTATCTAATATGTTCTATCATTCACTGGCAAGAATTTGCTTGTTTCACAGATGCCTCAATAGGCTAAGGCATTGTATTATATATTATATATATGTATATATATATTTCAATTATATATATAATATTTATAATTATATATTGTATTCACATGTGGTTAGTTAGGATATGGACTCTCAAGTCATTTCAACACATTATCAATTGGACAGAACAGGAATCCCAGAATATGAGTTAAGTCTGACTCATGTTTAAAGTATATCAAAGCGTTTCTGTATACTTGATAGCACAAGTCTGAGTCAGTCTTTTTGTTGCTTCCCATCAGAAAAAGGAGAATTTGAAGGTTTAATGACTGGCCTTTGTTTCAGCATGTTTGCTCTGGTTTTTGCACCTATGACATGTATTCTGATGCTTAAGAGGTAAGAAGTGAATACTGACTAATGCTATTAACAATAACTCCCTTTTATTTAACTCTGATTTTCATAGCACTGTGCCTTTTTTTGGTCATCAAAAGCAAATCAATTTAAAAGCACAAGGAAAAAAGCTCACCCCATACATTTACACAGTGAGAGAATTTACAAACCAGTAACAAGCTTATTTAAATACTTTGTCAAAAACCTATAACATTTTGCTTTTGATAACTGATTACTTCCAGTCTCACATACCCTTGGTAAGAACTAGAATCATTTATCCCAGTAGAAAATGGGCTACAGATAAGAAAACAATGGTGTATTTAATCAGTTTATTCTTTCATTCCCAACTGATGGTCATGTCTTTCCTATGGAAATGCAGGAGGAAATTCCACCAGTACACGTACAAATGCTGCAATCAAAGCATTTTCCTCTAAGCACATTTAGATTTTACTGTACAAATTACTCACATGTGAAAATAATGAGAAGAAATGGATGAGTACGAAGAAGAGAGAATAACAAGGGTGCCTGCAAGATATGGATGAGGGAAGTGGTCTTCCCCTCAAATTAATCTGAGGTGCAGTGAGGGCCGTATACTAACACTGAAAGAAAATGGCTTGCAAACTGATTCTGATACTTTTCTCATAAACTTAGTAGCATACAACCATTCTGATCACTATTACGATGACCTAGGATGCCACCTACCCTGCTTCTCCCTTTAGAAAGCACCAGCTCCAGATGATGAATATGAAGCCTTTAAAAAGGGACTAACCAGTTACAAAATCTATCTTTACACGGTCAGTGAGGAGATCAGATAAACTACAGCCTTAGGCTTTACCTTAACGAAGTACTTGACATCTAATGAAGTCTAGATTTGACTTTAAGACCAGACAACACTGAAGTCAGTGCTGAGGCAAGGTGATGGCCTAGATAACCTCATGCTGTTTCTCATAAATGTGCTGACATTTTTCATGTAGATATGAGTCATTGCCCAGAGCTCCCACAGTACAGCTCTGACAGCAGCTGCTGGCAGGGAGAAGCTCAGAGGGAAAGTGCTGAGGGATGTTCTACAGCGACCTGGGGTGACAGGAGAGATGGTGTGCCACCATCATGGCCTGTCCTCTTGGAAAGGAAGAAGGAGGAGAAAGACCCTTACCTCATCCTGATCACTAGAGAGGGAGAAAGTGGGGCCTTTCTGCCAGAGCTGCTCAATGTCCCTGCTTTCTAGAGATGCTCCTTCACAAGCAGCCCTTGCTTTGTGCCATTCGCAGCGGATGAAAGGCAGCTTCTTCTCCCCAGAGCTGTCAAAAGCGGTGCAGGGAGCAGGTTCCAAGGCCTGCATGTACCTGTGAAGGTAACAACCAGACTGCTTAGAGACCAGCTGTCAGTTTTGTGGTTTTGAGCCCTAGGAACAAGAAAGGAGCTGGAAAGAAAAGCCTATGAGAGGGCTGAGGACAAACAGCCACCTGAAACTGATGAGTATGGCACCATTCTGAGCCATGCTCTACTTCCCTCTGGGAGGATCAAGCTTTGAAACAAACAGTGGCTTTTGATTTTGCAGCATTTTAGAGTAAATTATCACTTACACTACAGCTATGGCAGAAACAAACTAGTGATGGTATGTTTGTGTCAGATGAAATGGTGAGATACTATAATTCCTTCCAGAAAGGGCTGAACTCATACTGTGAGAAAAGAATAGTACCCACGTTGCTCTCCACATTCCATTGCAGATTGCAGATCCTAGGGAGAGCTTTCTCCAGACCAGATGCGTGATTGTAAAGAAAAATGTAGCTTTCTTTTTTTTTTTTTTTTTTTTTTTTTTTTTTTTTCCTTAAGGAAAACTAAACTATGTAGAAAGGAGAAAATACTCTCTAAAACAAAAGTCATCCTACAGGTCCTCAAAGAATATAGAGATTTTTGTGGAAATGATAATGAATTAGGAATATGTGACAACAAAACTACAGGAAGACACAACATTGCCAGCTTGTGTCACAATTAATTTGTCCTTAAACAAAGATACTAACTCACCATCTCAACATAATCTAGCAAGTTTGGCCTAGAGTTTTTAATTGCCATCATGCTTAATAGTCACTTAGAGCATCTTGTTTTGATGGTCATGAAAATACCAATAAGATGTAGATACGGCAGTTAATTTAAATGCATAGGAAATGCCATTTATTTAACCTGTCAATAAACTTAGGATATTTGTTTACAGGTTGAAAATATCATGCTGGTCCAGTGTACCAAATCCAAGAAAGAGCAGTGCAATCCAAGATATGGCAAGTACAGTTCCAACGGTGTGAAAACAATGTACTAGAAAAGTCTTACCTGCTTATTAATCACTATCACTAGCTATTACTGTTTTCACACTTCATCCTAACATAAGTCTCATTCCAAGAGTTGGGAAGCTAGGGTTGTATCAGAAATACACAAATGGGAAGGTTGTTGTTTAGGCAGAGGCTGTATACATCTTTTGGCTTAATAAAGGTCCTCAGACTCCCTTTGAAAACACTTTAGATCACACTTAAACGAACTGTTGTTAAAAGAACAAGAAAATGTTGAATGGGTGGAGTTGTTGAGAGGGACAAGTTCAGTTATACCTAGTCCCTTTTCAACAGCTGGAACAGATTACTAAGTACAAGTTATACAAAGTAACACATTGTGGTCTAATTCCACAAAAGTGGAATTCACAAGAGGTAATGTGTACAGTGTTTTCTGAAGCCCAGTCTTCACCTCCCTGTCCCTGCATCCTTCTGCAGAAATTCTGGGGCTTTAGCTTGTCAGCTGGTAGCTATCTGAGGAGGCATCTACTAGTCAAGAGGCAACATAGTTCAAGAGCACCTTCAAACCTTCCCTACCCACAGAATTCCTCTATGTTCTGGTAAGGCTATTCGAATTTCAGGACTAACAAAGTGCCTGGAAAATAGCTAGAATACGTGATTCTGCTCCTCTTTTGCTGGTACCTGATAAAGTCCTTCCTCAAGTACAACTCAGTTTACCTCCCAAGTCTCAGACTGCTAACCATTATGTTTTTGGAATAGGAATTTGTGCTGTTTCCTTTTAAAATAATTTTGATTTTCCTGGCAGACCTAAACTTAGTTTGGCACTTGTAGAGCTAGCTTCTCAGGCCAACATTGTAAGCTATGGCAAAGCAGACTTGTGTCTATTTAGGACAAGGGAATGTTAGCCTAAATAAGCCTAAATCAAGTGAAATACATATTTCTTGATGTATCCTGATGGATAGAGATACAAATATGTCACTTCTTTGTTTCTAAGATTTAAGCCGATGAGAGCATGTCATTGTCAAGCTAAGCTGAAGTCAGAGTTTGGAGAGCTTAAAATGACATATTCACATAGGAAGAGGCAAGTGTACAATTAAAGATCAGAAGAGAAGCTTCAAGATAGTATCTACAGCCCAGCCCTGTCAAAATCTAAGACAACAGAGCAAAATAACTAGCAATGACATTAATGAAGATACTGACAGGCTATTCATAATCAAGAGGTTAGATGAAGATAAGTTTTTTTTTCTTCTTTTGTATAACAAAAAAGCCTGAAATCTGCCCTTTTGCTTTTCTTATTTAATAGCAATCAAGAAGTTTGCTTTCCCGTAGGAGCTGCAATCTCCCTACACATTAGTCAGACTAGAGATATGATGAGGGCATGGTTCAGTGCTGTGGCTGATGAGGAGTAGATGCTATGGGGCTTCTGTCACAATTTAAGGTTGTGAGCCTACAGCTGGACTAAAGAAGGTTAATGTCTGTGTGCAAGGGCTGGCACAGACCATGCTTTGGTGTTGTGACTATTCAGGATACGATAGGTAGAAACAGATCCTTGTCATGCTTTGTCAGATCACGCTGGTCCTGGGAGCTGGAAAGATTACAACCAATGCATACTGTTCATACATTAAAAAAATCAGTTCTTGTATAGAACTTATTTTAGATTAGTTAGTAAAGAGTTAGGGCTGCTGATCATAATAAATGGAATAATGGAAGTGCACGTCATGGAAGTTACCTCTTAACTTTGTTCTTTTGGCATTTATTTCAATATATTGACAATTTCACTTTGCCAAGATATTATACCAATGTTACAATTTCTTCTTGTCTTTCCTTGCAGAGCAACTGGAAACCCATTTCAAAATCACTGCTTCAAACCCTGCCAGACAATGATACCACCAGCCTTTATGTCATAGAGCACGAGGAAAAGGCATCTTTGAAGTTAGAGCACTTTACAGATGGCAGAGAAGACAGCAAGCATGACATCAGAGAGTCAGAAGAACCTAGCAATAATATAGGCATAAATATAATACATAAAGAAATCCCTGAAAAAACAGTTACAAATGAAAAAGATGGAATAATTTCCTTTACGGTACCCCTCTTGAGTGACTATACCAGCATGGAGTGCAGCCAGAAAGCTCTGATGAGTCTGACAGTGAAGCTGCCTGCAAGACCTGCTCACCGTCACCTGGAAATGGAACTAAGTAGTAAGCCAACACAAACTGAACATCAAGTTTTGTTTGCTCCCCAGGACTACCTCAAACAAAGCCAGGTAGTATTTTTGCCACCTAGACCAACTTCGGTGGGAAAAGTCGATTTGAACTGAGGAATCTTGAAAAATTCAACTTTCAAAACCTCAGGTACATGAATGCAGGGCATTAAGAGCATATAAGACAGTGACTTTGTGATGAGAACTGTGCTCTAGTTCAGTGGGCATCCTTCCTCAGACCCCTTGGTCTGAGGAAAACTATTTCTAGTCGTCTAGTCTAAAAACAACAATTTCTAGTCATCAGAAGAGCTTGCTACTCAGTATTAGCAGTGTAAGATCTGGTTTTCAGATATAACAATAAACTTTATTCTTTATTCTTTACTTCAGTAAAAATCCTACAAAAACCACCTACCATGACAAAGGTCTCTAGTTGAATGAACAAAATAGTGGGATGCCTTGAATTTAGGAATAGAAAATGATGCTTACCCATCTATGGAACTTAGATGAATAATCCTGATGAAGAAAAGATGGTAACAAGTGTTATTATTACCAAAGTTTTACTTGCATTAAGGCTATTTCTTCTTATGTTTATCTACACAGACAGAAATCCATTTATATTCTTGTGTGTGATGAGGTTGCAGATACTATTTCACCTTGTGTACAATAACAAAAACTGTGAAACAAAATTAATGAGCTGAATAGCTAGTTCATTTAGTCATTCCCCAAGCTTTGCATAGAGAAGATGCCATTGAAATATATCAGCTCCTCTGTATGATTTATACGTGACTGCATCATGTATCTCCACAACGCACTGATCTGAACTGCTTACAGGGACTTCTCTCTCACCCAAAAATTCCATAGGCATTAATAGGCACGGAGTGTTGTGTCTTCAGATTAGGGGTAGCTGTCTAAAAACACAAGTGCATATAGAGATGTAAAAAACCTGCAGAATACTGCCTCTAGTAACATACATGCAAGATATTTCATTTTATTTAGAATACTGTGTTCAAGTGGTTTCAGCTGGTTATACTCCTAACTTCAGTTCAGTTGGTTGCAGTTATATGCTCTTTATTGTCAAGATGTGTTACATGAAAAGTGTAATTGCAAACACGGGGGCTCAAGGCCATAAATGCCAATGTATTTTGAATATATCTTGGGGTTTTTTAGGCAGCATACAGAAATTCCAGATGACCAGAGTTAGCATTAGTGAGAGTTTAGACATTATAAAAGCTTAAACACTTGACTGCAGGCCTGGATGGCACATAGGCACAGTGATTTATAGCATGGGATAAGATACTGCAGGGTTACAAGGATCTAGTATTTCTTATTTACAGAGAAATGAATATCTCTGTTGATGTAATATCTGTTCTCTAACATGGCCTGTGTATTGAGCACAAGTAGAAGGTTTAACAAAAAACCAGCATTCAAGTATAGGACAATAACAAAAAAGAAGAAAAAATTGTGAATGCTGGAGGTAAGTGAATTCTCACAGTGCTGATGTAACAAAGGGTACCATCTGGCTATGTGACACCTTTTAAGTGGGTAAGATATGCATAGAGCCTAGATAAGGCCTATGGCTAAATAATTGCTTTACTGCCAGCTGTGCAATTCGTGATGTGCAGAAAAAGAGTGACGAAGGTGCAAAACAAAATTGCTTTGACATTTACATTCCTGAACATAAGTTCTTCTCGTTCTCACATTTCTCAGTTTTTCTCACATTTCTAAAGTGTCTCAAAAGCTAGGTAACAGAAAAAGAGATCTGTGGATGCCAAGTCATGGCACATTACTGAGTCAGCAGTGACTAAAAAGAGTATAGTAACAGTAGTAAGTCAATTAGCACCTGAAAACAGCAAAGTCAATATGCTGCTTTTTTCTGGTAATGAGAGTAAATCAATTTTTTCTTGCATACTTTAATGTATGAATAGAATGAACACAGAGATACATTTTTACACATTTTTTACACTTGAGGGTAGATCAGAGCAGTAACTAGACAGCACTCAAAAACATGACAGTGTTTTTCAGATATGGGAAATAAAGTCACTCAGCCTGGAACAGCAGATTGCAGCAATCACAGTATTCCAGAGCGTTTTTTTTCCCCTCTGTATTAACTGTCAAATAGAATAATAGGAACCACCAAATGTTATAAATTTGCTAAAAACCAAAGCTTTGTCGGTACTCTGACAATCTTAAAAGCCACCTTACAGCACAAGGGCAACTGCACTTGAACAGTCCTCTGAAGGCAAAGTACAGGAGAAGCCCATCGACTTGAATCAACTCCAGCTACTGCTATAAAAATTGTAAAGTAACAAATCATTTAATTAAAGCCTTCCAATTACGAGATACTTGTCTCAGAGCTTTGAGCTTTGGGATATGTGTTGCAGGGTCTTGGTTTACTTATTTTCTTCTTGCACAATGATTTTTTTTCCTTAAAGAACTGAGTTTGCACTGCTTGGATTATGTTAACTGTGTTTTAGTCACTGTACTGTTGAGCTCTGTAGGACAGTAAGTAATAAAACTCAGGACTTTGAGTCTGAGGTTTGTGTCAGTCACTTCTGAACATAGCTTGCCCCTAGCACAAATTACACAGTTGCTGTCTGTTTTGTTTCTACAGCAGAAGCACCAGTTTGACTGATAAAACTGAAAACAACCTGCTGTTCTAGAAACTGTCATTCACATCACCCATCCTGTCCTAGTTTCGGCTGAGACAGCATTAAAAGCACAGCAGTGCTTGGGTTATTGCTGAGAAGAGTCACCGCCATGATGGCGTGGGGGCAGAGGGTGCAGCAGAGGAAAGGGGCCTGAGTTTTGCACAGGGTATTCCATATCATGTGACATTGTGCAGAAAGCCAAGGGGAGGTGGCCAGGAGTGGTTGCTGCTTGGGGGTTGGCTGGGCATTGGTCAGTGGGTGGTGAGATACAGCATAGATATCAGGCAGGCTGTTGTACTCTGAAATGGGTGCTGGTTAGCAAGTGGTGAGTGACTGCACTGTGGAGGCATATACATATATATATACATATAATAGAATCAGAGTCATTAAGGTTGGAAAAGACCTGTAAGATCATCTAGTTCAACCATCTACCTGCCACCAATATTGCCCACTAAACCATGTCCCTAAATAAATATATATATTTATATAATAAAATAATACATATATAATTAACAGTTATAATCACATGTTTATTTCCATTTTCCTTTTCTGTCCTAGCAAATAGTTTCTATCTCAACCCACGAGTTCTATTTCCCTCCCTCATCCTACTGCATTCTCTCCCTCATCCTACTGCAGGTTACTGAGTGAACACCTGTGTAGTGCTGAGCTGCCGCTGGGTTAAACCATGATAGTTCTCAGAGAAGGGCAAAAATTTTACAGGAGGAAATCAAAGAATTTGCTGAAGTGGTAATAAAAAAATCTTAAGGAAGAACGGACACAGGAATAGCCGTTACAGGCTAGGGAACTTGCAGTGGAACAGTTTCAGGTATTTACTGGACATACTGAAGTCTTGGTAGGCTGGAGAATAGAAGATACACTACTTAGCTGCAGGTTGAAGCCCAATTTTGGTACATGGTTAGAATGGAAATGGATTGCAGAACCCAAAGCTTGGTCTTTAACAAACAGTAACTGCCAATGTTAAACTTTGCTCATAGCAGTTCAAGTCAAGGTACACAGCAAACAGCAACATTCACCATTTCTTGTTAAGTCGATGTTAAATTCTTGCATTCCTTTAAAATACATGGTTGCTGGAAGATTTCTAGTGATTCATAGGAGGTATCTGCTACGATACCTGCAGCTACGTGTTTGGTGGGCCATCATACTGAAAGACTAAAATAGCTAGCCAGATGTGGTCATAAATTGAAGAGTAATTTTGACCTTGGAGGACTGGGATGTTCTGACAAAAATCAGGTAATTTCATGTTTTACAACTCTGAAAACTTGAGAAGAAATCCAAGATTATTTCACTGAGTTATCACTAAGTACAGAGGATGTGCCACATTCTGGACACTTCCCATTCTTCAGGACGTACAGTGACTTCCAAAAATAATTTCACAGACAAGAGCAAGTGGCAGCAAGACACGAGTAGTTTGAAGTGCTGACTTGTGAGACTGCAGCTGTGCTATGAGCAGTGCCTGTAAATACTCCCTGCCATGCGAGCTTCAGAGTCTGTTTCTTCAGTAGAATTTGTGGCCAATTCAGCTAATGTTCTCCCCCTAAAATTCCAGTCACTATCTGAAAAACAGAAGAAAGTCTGTTTCCACCTGGCAGTTTGCACGCAGGCACTCTTTTTGGAGGGCAAGAGGATTAAGTAATAGACACATGCAGTCCTATGCCATCTGTCACATCACTGGCACATGCAAGTTGCTAGAAAAAAAAAGTAGTCCCTACATACTAGAACTAAAATTGTACTGTAGCAGGAATAAGCGAAGGCCATGAAGGCCCACTGAAGGCCCATCTGTTCCAATCACTGGAAAATGATGAGATGTAAACAGCCAGATATAATTTTGAACCAGACATGGTCATCTCAAATAAATAGTATACCAGAACAGGCCTCAAATGGCAAGAGATATACAACAGGAGCTGCTTAATGTGCCAGCCAATTAAAGAGATCTCAGAGTATCTTTTCTACTGTGGGATAGCTCAGCATCTCTGTCCTCTTGTAAGTCATCAGGACACTGGAGATGTAACTAGAATTACTGGAGTCAGTCCAGGACAATGCAGACCATTAAGGACTTCCATTTCAACTACCACAAAGTAATTATTTTGTTTTAAATAAACACTGAGAGAGATAACTACCTTGATTCAGACCGGCTTGAATAACTGCTTTATTTACTTGATAGCACTTGCTCTCTCAGTGGTGAATTGCCTTTGGTTTTTAATTGAAAACCACAAATTCAAAGTTAATGCCAGCATTTATTCATATCAAATTTATCAATTTATTGTAGAATCATAGAATCACACAGTGGCCTGGGTTGAAAAGGACCACAATGATCATTTAGTTTCAACCCCCTGCTATGTGCAGGGTCACCAACCACTAGGACAGGCTGCCCAGAGCCACATCCAGCCTGGCCTTGAATGCCTCCAGGGATGGGGCATCTACAACCTCCTTGGGCAGCCTGTTCCAGTGTGTCACTGCCCTCTGAGTGAAAAATGTCCTCCTAATCATAGAATCATAGAATCACAAGGTTGGAAATGACCTCCAAGATCATCTAGTCCAACCGTCTCCTCATCACCATTGCCAACACAAGCTACTAAACCATATCACGCAGCACAAAATTTTTATTTAACTTAAACCTCCTCTGCCTCAGTTTAAAAACATTCCCCCTTGTACTACCACTATCAATGTCCCACAGAACTTCAGATTCTAGTCTGACCAAAAAAATTAGCTTTTTAGTTTGCTGAATTGTGAGAATTTCTAAGTTAGAAATACAGGAACATCAATTCTTAGGAAGGTTACTGCCACATAAACATCCCTTTCTGGTGCAACATTTATAAGTAACGGAATACTAAGAAAAAAGGAGGAGTCTCAAACTGATCAGAAATTCAGCAGATAAATACGTATTAAAATGCATATGTTTTTACTACAGTTGGATCATCTACTTCATGAAAGACATTTTTTCAGTGTTATAAAATGTGACATTAGGCAAGCCAGATATCTTTTGCAGTTAATCAAGGAAGATGCACAACTTGAAAGAGCAAAAAAAAAAGCTGCAAGTAAACAGAATAAAAAGTAGCAAAACAGACATTAAACACTGAAAGTACACAGCCTATATTAGAAGTGGAAGATGAAAATTCAAAGAACTTTAAAAGTTTTCTTTTTATGAACCTTCAGCTTGTAAGACAGCAGGACGGCAGAAGTGAGGCTTAGTCTCTGCAAAACTGATACTGCAACAAACAACACCAGAGAGTCCTCTCCTCCTATTCTATTAATAGTTCTGCAAATCTCCTATAGTTGACATAATCCTAATTTCCTCTCTTAAAATCAACATTTCTGAAATGACAGACAGTCAAGACAGAGGTTTTTTTTATTCTGTAGACCAAAATTCACACTGCCATGCCATTTAGATAAACAGTGAACAATGAGATAAGCTGCAGAAGTATGCCTGTATCTGTCCTACTGGGAAGACCAGGCTGCAGATAGCCAATAGGGCTTCCAAAAGGAAGATGTACAGTTACACATTCCATACAACTGCTGAGATGATATATTATTAACTGTAGAGGTGTTAACAAAAAAGTTAACAACAAGGCAAATATAGCTTTATAACAGGGCGTAGCCTGTTAAATTTTATCTTGAAAGGAAGGTGTTTGCTGTGACTTTTGAGGGCTATAGTCAAGCCAAGTGCTAAGCCCTTCCAGAGAGTGCCTGCATGCCTGCAGTTTTTGAAAGCTAATTTAACATGCCTGCCGTGGACCAGTGGAAACTAAGGGGCATGCAGTTACTTGAAGGCTCAGACCTGGACTGAAACAGGTGTAGGTTTACTTCTTTAAAAACTAGGTATCTGCACCCGATCTTGACTTCAAACGATGTCTCTTGGAAACAGCTCCTTGAGGTAATAGTTCTGGAAGATCAGTGACCTTTCCATTTGCAGGTCTAACATCAACTTCCTATAAGCCTGCTCTTCAGGAACACAGCAATGAATTAGAAAGTGAACTGCAATTAACCTGTGCTAAGTCAGATCAACTGAAGTTGATAAGAACAGATGTGACATAAAACATACGTATGTATATAATATGTCAATATGCTTTAGGTTCTGTCACAGCTGTGTTAAGGAAGAAGTAACTATCAATGTCTATAAAACATACCTAGATATTTACCCAGGTACAGACGTTATTGTAACTTCCCAACACCGCACGTCCTGGTTCCTCGCGTCTAAACAGCAATAGCACACTGAACACATAATCTGTTTCTCCAGTTACGCTGGGTCACAGGTTAGGCGTTCAGGCGTCCACCCAGAGCCAGCCGCACCCGCAGCCGCACCCGCCCCGCGCCATCATGGCGGCGCCTCCGCCCGCCCAGCCGCCCCGCCCGGCCCCGCGCGCGCAGCCACCCCTCGGCCGTCCCTTCACGCAGCGCCGCTCCCGGCGCGGGGCGGGCGCGTGCGCTGCGGTGCGTTGGCTGACCGCGCAACGAAGACGACGCGGCCGCTGGTTCCGTTTTGATGCGGGAATTTGAGGATGCCTTTCAAGGTTGCCGAAAAAGTCATCGGCTCCTTGGTTTGTTTGCGAATCGATTCTCAGTTTACGTAAGCACGTGAGCTTTCAGACGGAAGGCACGGCGGTGCAGTAAAAACGTGACTTCTGTAAGCCCTCTGGTAGCAGAGAAACGGCCCCGCTTCGCGGGCACGCCGCGTTCATCTCACCGCGTTTTGGCGGCACCTGCGTTTGGGAACAACTGTTTTCGGGATGAAGCGCGGGAAGAGTGAAACTTCATCACAAATCTCCGAGGAACGCCCTGAGACCTCACTAAGAACTGCGGCCATTGCCGTGGCACCAGGGTGAGCCATTCGTTGCACAAAAACGGTCACGTCCCACTAGTTTTATGGCTTTGTTGCTTCTTTAAATATGTTTTAACAACAGCAACAATAAACATTAAGTTTTGTTACTTACACGCACTCACTGTATTCTGTATTTTATGAAGGCTGCTCAGAAAGCGATGCCTCGTTTTATTGTCAGCCCACGATGTCAGAGGCAGATGCTGTTGGTACGGCAGTATAGGTTGAACCTTCCCAACAGTATTCTATTATGTTTTGTTGTTGTGTGACAGATGGCAGCAGAGGGGCACTCTGACAGAATGGTGTCTGACACGGAAGTGTGGATGGAGCAAAGGTGTGTGAAGGAATTCCTCCAAGCAAAAGAAAAAAAAAAGGCACCCACTGACTTTCATGAACTAGTGAACATTATTGAGGTCCAACACTGAATGTGGGCACAGTGAGCTGGTGGGTAGTGTGTTCCAGCAGTGGCAACACTGGATCACCTCTGCTGTTTATTATAAGCATGGCATGCTGGTTCCTGTTCATCACTGGTGAAAATGCACAGTTCATGGTGGTGGCTGTTGAAAAATTGTAGCTGAAAATTTGCTCTGTTAAATAGTGTTACTGTGTTTTTTATATCTACTGTAGTTCTCGTGGAAATAATTAGGAGGCATTACTTTCAGAGCAACCTTCATAGATGTGACCCTGACAATTCCTCCTCAATTAGTGTGGACCACACAAGCCAAAAGGTTGGACACCCATGCTCTAGAGCATTTTGGGGGGGAAAAAATGATAAAACTACAGAATACTTTAGCTCAACATAAATTAATATTGCTAGTGTGTATGTATGTATAAGATAGAAAGTCTGGGGACATCAATAAAAGAAAAGCATACAAGTCCTTTCTGCAAAACCAGTTTAAAGCTATGTGACCCTTCTATTCAACCTTTTCTTAGTGTCCAGCTCTGAGAAGAAGATTCTCAGGAGTTTGCCTAAGAGAAATAAGCAAATGTAAGATATGGTAGCAGACTTAAATTCACCACACCTGGACCATCTCTGTGTGCACTTGTAAACCCCATGATACAATTGGTTTGATGACATTCATAGAAAGAAATTTCATACATTTCTTCAAGCATCAGAGTCTCTCCTGTTTCCATACTTTCGTATTTAGTTTCTTGATTGCAGTGATGCTTACGTTAAAAACAAATATTTCACTGGCAAACTGTCAGTTTACTTTTGTTTGTAATACTGTGACTCAGTTTATGCTGTCTAGATACGACGAAAAGATGAGTTCATCCTACAAATCAAGAAGTAACTATAGAGAGCCCGTTACAGGCCTAACAGAGTACAACCTCATCTTCTGAGGACAGCACCCTTTGTAACAGCAGTGTTTTGTTTGTTGGCTTAGTTAATACCAGCTTCAAGGAATGCAAGGGAAGGTTTGGATGCAGAGAACATGTTGACCAGAACAGGTGGCAAAAGACTGTGCTGCTCCTAGCACTCGTGTTCATGCAGGCTATGTATTTTCCTTCTGGGCCTATGCTTGCATAGACTGTCCTTCCAGCAGTTCCAGTATCTTTTGGGTGTGAACGGGTGGTGCTGTCACGATGGCACCATTGTCCTCTGCCCAGAGGCACATCAGCCATCCAACCTTACAGTTCCTATCTCTTTGGCATGTTGGTATGGCACCCATAGACTAAGGACTACATAGTTTAGATTTGTAAGACTTCTATTAATATAGCTTATGTAAAAGCATCTTCCTGCTCCCAAGCATTTGAATTTGTCCTCCCCCTCACTGACAGATAAATAAATAAATAAATAAAATAGATCTAATCAGCCAATTAGCTGCGAGCAATCAAAATGGAAGCCTTCAGCATTGATCTGCCTCAGCCCCCTGGTTTTGGCTCAAGGCACCAGGTAACAAAAGTACATGTCTTCAAAGTCAACGCAAAGCTATTTCAGGCACAGCTAAAAGGCTCCGTAACCCATATGCAGCTTATCTCCTAACAGATTGCTACTGTGTTGGAGTATTAGAGAAGGAACAACATGGCAGTAAACAGCAGGGAGATGTTCCTTTGTGTGTTTGTTTGTTTTTAGTGGGTTGTAAGTAAGTTTGTGTTGTTTGTAGGTTTGTGGGAAGCCCCACCTCTACCATGTGGTGAGTTACTGCCATACCCCAGTGAGTGCTGCAGCACTCAATTTTTTGCTGCAGTGAAACACAGTGTAACTTCTAGATATTCTTCACACACTATCACTTATTTTTCTAACTTCAGTATATACCCCTGCTTCAAAATTTCTGTTTCACCACTGTAATTCTCTCAAAAAGCCTTAAGGAGCTTGAACCTTCCTGGATATTTCTCTCTCAGGACTAAGGACCAGCATATGTTTGCAGTAACAAAGGACAGCATTTTCAAAACAAGGTACTGCTACCACCATTCCCTGCAGTTAAAACAAGTGCACTGTCCCTTTTTCACTTAATTTTCAATGTTCTCCTCTAAAAATGATGTTGATTTTGTTTTGTTTGTTTCAGTGAATAAATTATTTTGGGAAATGATGAAATAAACAGAGAATTTTGAGCCACTGCTGAGCCATCTCAACGTGTTTTTTCCCATTTTCATTCAAAGGAGAAACATGATGAAGTGCAGCTGATGACACTACCTGATCAGACAGAGCTGAACCAGCCACACGATTTGTTACAAACATGGTAACTCAAAATTACAGGATCCCTATTGAACAAGTAGAAGTTTAAAATCCACTGAGAAGCACGTCCATGCAAATTATATCTTGATAGAGAAGCTTAAGCACTGAGAACAGTGGATTTTAGTATGAAAATACCCGTGACAGCAAATTGTCATATACTGTTCATACTAAAATATCCTGTGAAACCCTAACTCTACATAATTAAACAAATTTTGATGTATACTTCTGTACATCCACGTTTATCAACTAATCATTTGTTTAAAAATGACAAACTCTGCCTCCTTGGGCAGGTTCCTGTGGCGAAGAAAAAACATTGCTCATTGGGGTGGCTGGGTTTCCAGAAAGGCCTTAGCCTCTCACCACCATTCCTGCAGTAAATATTCTTGCCAATTTCAATCCAACCAAGATCTAAAGTCTCTGGGTCCAGATGTAGACATAATAAATAAAACAAATAAATCAAACAGAAGACAGAACTGCTTCATAGCCATTTGGTATATCTCTCTGTACTTAGTAAAAGTGAGCTATGACACCAATAATGCTTTGGGACATAGTTTATTCACAAAAATAACAACGTAATAGCAGCAGTTGACATTTCTTTACTAGTACCATTTCATAGTTGCTTCAATAATGCAAAAATATATTCTACTAACACGGAACAAGCTTGGATATACATTTATTAAACTTAAAAGGCCTCCTTTACTAACAAAACATCTGATTTAGAGGAGGGGCAGTAATATTTTTGCTGCTGTAGTGTACAGGATACCCAGGCACATTTGAGCACAGGTTGTGATTCATGCTGTGTAGAACAAACTTACCATGGCTCCTGTATCACTGAGAAAAACACCAGAAATGATCTACTGATAAGCTACATTAACTCTGCAGGTTAAATTCCTTTCCTGATGTTCCTAGAGCAGATCACTCACTCCTTTAATCAAATTATTATGAAATTTATGTATGTATGAAGCACTAGCTTCTAAGTAGACCATGATGTACGCATCACTGTAGCAGCAGTTTTAAATCTTTGTGCTAAAAGTTTTACTTAGTACAGCAACTTACTCTTCTAAGAAATCTGCTTGCTTCCTGTCATTACCTTTATCCCCTTATCACTCCCTAAATATATTTGACATTTAACTATCAAAGAACACAAAAAGTACATTTGCATAATTCTACTGTAAATAACAGATCTGCTGAAGCAGATCTGAGTTATTATATCAATGTATTAACCTTCTCAATAGTTCAAAACTAAAATACTACTATAGTCATTAGATTAAAATATCCTTTAGGAATAGTTACAGTTTGCTACCTAGCACACTAATATCTGCATTATAAGAGCTACTTAACTCAGCTAAGAACATCAAGGACTGAATGACAGTAAGAACAAATGACTTTTTCCACTGCTGATAAAAAGTCTTTCTGACCAAGAAAGACAGATAACCTCTATGTGAGAAAATCTCCTTTGCACAGTTAGTACAGAACATATTTTGTACTCCAATCTTAAGCCTTTCATCAAGTTTGGCACTTGTTTATCTTATAGTAAAAAAAAAAAAAAAAAAAAAAGCTGTGAATCCAAATGTGTAAACTGCAGCTCTCCACAAGAAAATAAACAGCTAAATCTCATTTTTACTTCAGTGTACTCCTGTACTAATCTCAAAAATTGAAAAACAGCTACGACAAATTTTTCTTAGAGTTCTTGGTTTCTGAAAACATCTTGAAAACTGGAATTCATAAATAGATCCTCAATGGCTTAATTTACTCAAAAAGTACAGAACTGAAGCCTTAAGAGAACTGCTCTCAGACATGGGCAAAGGAGCTGTATGGATGTATAATCAGACAACTGCCTCAAGCTGTTTTACACTGAAGCATCTACTGAGAAAAATCCAGACTAATGTGCTCAGATCCCATGATGTGGCTCACCTATACATGAAGCATTCCTGAATCTTAAATGAAAATAAATACTACATACAGAGACAATGTCAAGGAGTTTAAAATTAAACACAACTGAATTTATCTGACATTAGGCAAAAGAAATCCCTTTTATACAATGCTTTCAGTATTACTTTAATTACACTTTTCACCATATAAAAAATAAACTTCACATACAGGCTGGAAAGTTTCCTGTTTAGACATCAGCAAACAAAATCAAATTTCAGGTTGTAATAACATTAAGAATATCTATGAATTTCACCTATCCACACTCTATCTGCTGGTGAGAAAACTAGACCTCTCTGAACTAATCATCTACAGGTTTACATTAGTGTAGTCACTTACAGCTCTCAGTATTTGTGTCACTACATCCAAACCTTGCTTTTAAAATAATGACAACACCAAAAACAGTAATTCATTCATTTATATAAAACCTGAAGTATCATCAGGTGTCAAACTGGAGGCATTGCATGCCCCAATTTGCAGTATACTTCACTGTGCTGAACTTATGTACTTAGAAATTGTTTTACTTTCAGAATTCCACTTTCACACTGAAACAAGATGATTTGTCTTTTATTTTTTCCTTTAAGTGAATGGCTTGCAAAATTAAAATGCGTGTTTCATTACAAACTTACAAAAAGAGTGATACAGAGATGCTTCAGTTTTAAGAGTAAAGAATATACATACCACTAGGGCATTACTGCTTTCAGTGATTATAATGTTAAAAAGAGTAACTGAAAATAGTAACAGAAACTTGTATGCAGCATGTAAGAATTTGTCATACAAGGCAGCCTTTACTTTTTTTACCTCTTGATTAGACCAAAAGAGTATCACAGAAATTCCTAAATATAATTATTACAAACTGAAGGCAAACCAGAGAAGCTACCATTAGCAAACAGATCAGTAGAATTCAAAATTAAATTTATTGCCTTACACATACCTAGACTGGAAAACACCAGCAAACAAATTGCAAGCAACACACAGCACGATACAGACTGCAGAGTTTACTTCAGCAGAGGAGTAAACCACTCAAACGGTCAACTCATCACATAAACCAGGCTGTGCCTAGGTTGATGCTGTTAGCCAGCTGGTTAACTAAAGCTAATTCAGTTGTACCTATCTGAAATTGACATTAAAAAAAAAAAAAAAAAAAAAAAAAAAAAAAAAAAAAAAA